ACTTACAGGCCCTTCCCTACAAAACATACCGTTTATATCCGCGGCTTCAGGAGGTTGTTGTCTGCTCTCCGGGTGAGCAGCCGGCAGCGGAGGCTCCTCCGAGGAAAGTGCCCGGGGCGCGCCTAGGAGTGTCCGCTCCACAGTCGCTCCCACGGTCGAGTAGAGGTCTCCTGCCTGGCTCACAAAAACTGATGTGTGGAAAGCAGACTTTACAATCTGTAAGATTGTAAAGTAGGTATGTTTATTCGGCGCCAGGCGACATGGGGGGTAGTCCCACCGAAGTCGTGCGTGCAGAGCAGCAACGTGTCTCTTCAATTTATACAATCAAATATTACATATACATTAGATTTCCCAATACTCCTATACATATGCATCTATCCTCATTGCATATCAAAATTAGTTCCAAGAAGTAATTTCCATAGTCTCCTCCCAGCTGCGCTTGCGCAGTGCCTCCTAGTGGTGGTCGTTGGGGGTCCCAAGATGAAGGCCCATCCTCTTCATCACGGTGTCCGCTGATTGACCTCTGTTTCTGTGCAAACTCAGTTCTCTCCTGGCTCCCATCCATACAGCAGGGTCGGTCTTGACCGGTTCTAGGCAACTCCCAGCCCCTATCAGGATCTAACCCCTTTGTATGGAGATGCAAGACTCTCTGCTTCAGTTAGTTTAGACAATAGATAGGCACTATCAATTCTCTTTCAACAGACTGCAACTATTAGATAATGCTACGTCTACTAAAATCCCTTTTAACCCCTTCCTTCACTTAGAGGTTTCCAGAAATGTATTAAAACTAGTTGTAATGTGTTTTGTTTCTTTTTCCAGATAATGAAGCAAGCACCAGTTAGATTTGACCCGAAAACTCTACATATACCAACATATTCAGGTATGGATCTGCTCAAGTTGTTATAACTGAAGTTCTGTGCATGATGGTGTAGGTTGCTATCACAAGACGTATAGCTTTCCTTTCTGAAGCAGTAATGTTTTTAACTAGCTCAATTCTGAGTAGACTTTTCAAGTGCTAATAGTTATATGCCCTTCCCATCTCTTCTGTCTTCTTCCATTACAAGCCTATGCTCAAAAGCTTTTAAAGTAAGACAGTCAACACTGTTTCAGTGTGGGGGAAAAACAACAAATTTTTTTCTGTGTTATTTTTTGTAAATTGAGATGTTTTAACTGAAATATTCAAACAAATAGATTAAGATGTGACAAAGGTTGAGAAGCAAATGAAAACAGGATCTTAGAATGTGCACTGTTGATCAGCCGTAATACTAGGCAGCCTTGCCAGTCCCACCTTTAATCATGAAATGCTATGGGAATCATGTCCCAGAAGGTAGTGTGGAGTTGTTTGGAGTTTGGTTTGTGGTTATTGTTAGTTCTTAATGTCTAAAAAGGTTGCTATTATTTCTGAAAACAAAAGACTACTCATTGTCATCAGCGTAAGTTTCTTTCCCTGGAAAATTTCCTCTAGTCTATTTAAGGAAATACTATTACACTTTACTGTGTGTGAAGAGGGATGTCAGCCAGATGTGTAGCCCTTCTAGAATTCACATAGCACCTCTTCCGAGACATAAAAGTTCCATTTTTCTTTCTACAAAGTATGTATTTTGGAGAGTTAATTTGTTGAAGACGTTTTGTAGTTGGAAAAGAATGCAATGTCCCACAGTCTCCCAATCAAAATTATAGTAACAGAAAATATTTTTGATTTGGCTAGCATCCTAGGCAATAATGATCAAATTCAAATGCCTAAAGGATTGGTATTTTATTTCATATTTTATTTAAGTAACTAAATTGTCACACTGATGTTCTGATAAGTTTAACCGTTGTTGTCTATATGTTTTTAGTATGGGGCTGTTTTTTGAGGTTGTAACACTTTCAGGGTTGTAGCTTTTTTTCTGGGCAACTTTCTGATTGTTTTTGAAGATACTGAATTTGATGCTGCTTGTCAATAATGATTAAAGACAGTATGGAAAATACGAGATAAATACCAGAAATCCGGACCTCTTTTCAGCTTTGCTAATCTAGATTATGATTGCCTTCATTAGTAGGTGTTGTTACCCAAGTGTAAATTTGGAGTAAAAGACAGAAGGTGTGCTTTTAAATATTCTGTACTGGAGCATATTAGGATGGCAGATAAGTTATTAGTAAATAACTAACCAAAACTGAGGCAATACGTGACTGCTAGAGTGAAGTTACCTGTTGAGACTGATAAGGTAGTCTTTGAAAAACCTCTATTCATGTACAGTGGTCAGTGAATTGAACCACAGGATGTATGTTAATCGTCCTAGTGACTTATTTGTGTTCCTTCTGAAGTCATCTATGTTCTGATGCTACTAAGGCTTAACTAGGTGGATACCTATCATATGAATAACTATATACCTCTTCTGTTTATTGATTCTGAGGCGATTTTGTTGACTTTCATTAGTTTTTACCTCACATTTACTCTAATAATACTGCATTTTCTTATTAAGAATTAGTAATGATTAAGGAGAACTACCACTACTACATTTCCTAAATATAATGCCAATAAATCTTTACTTAAATGAGTTGCAAGGACTTAAGAGGGTTCCACTTTTAAAAATGTTTTGAGGTTTTTAGTGCTACATTTTTATGCTTTGTTTCCCTTCTTACTACTTTGATTTCTGTAATATTCAGACTTGAATTATAATATGTTTGTTTATAATTTTAGTTCTTAAAATATTAATGAGTCAAACTTTGGAACTTATTTATTCATGTCGATGTTACTTTCTAGTGTTTTAAAGCAACATCAAAGATCCATTATCTTTACTTGTTTGCTTCTTATGGTTAGCTGAGAAGTTATCATCTATGAAGGACGTGGACTGGAATGACTTCTTGCAACGAGTATGTTCACTGCTTGATTCCACTGAGAAGAATACAGGAGCAGCACGTTCTAAACTGAACTTACTGTACTACCTGTGTACTGTGGCTGTCCACAAGGAAATTGCAAGCAGGCTAATTAGCTCTCAACTGGTAAATAATAAGCTTTGAAGGAATAAACATGGTTTACATACTTGCCATTGTAGCAAAAATCAGCTGCTTTTAGTTAGATTTCAAGAAATCATTGCTGTACTGACGAAAATAATATGGCAAATCAAGTACAAAATAATGAAAAAAAATTACTAAATTCCGTGTCAGGTTTTTTAAAAGAGCTAAAGGAAATTCTTTCTCTTAGATTTCAGATATGTTTACATACAGATTTGTTGTATTAGTAAAAATGTTGGGGTAAAAACTAACCTTGATGGAGAATGTGAAATAATGTATGATGAAATGTTAGTCTTCTAAATCATTAAGTGACAGAGAAGACTGAAAAAAGTTCATGTTTGAATTCTTAAGTCAATTTTATTTGGTCACATGTCTGTGAAAAGTAACAAGAAAAACTTTCTAAAGAACATACAGTAAAACCTTCATTAAGCACTGCTTTGAAGAGTGAGCAAGCGCTCTGAGGAGTCGGTTTTAGTGTATACCTAAATGGTGGTTTCACCTTTCAAGAATAATTTTCTACCAGACGCACAATTTTACTAGTTTCATCTGTAGTGGTTTAACACATTTCTTAAAACTATTGCAAGTGCACGAGAGAACTAGACTTATTTTACCCATTATGTAAAAGCATCACAGACACTGTCTCAAGATGTGCACTTTTCAGTTTATTTAGTAAAAAGTAAAATACTTTGTTCTTGCACATTTATACCAATGCACCTAAGTTATACTCTGACACATGTTGTCACTGGATATAGAGATATTGAAGACATAATTGCACTGCCAGAAACATTCAATGCAGAACATTCAGGTTGGAAGCAATGGTAGGTCCTAGGCTATAGAATTCTTGTAAAAGCAGGAAACAGAATTGCTGGAAGGTGTATTCCATTATCATTGGAGAATCTTTTGGGGGACAATAATTCAATAACTAAATTGTCAATTAACAGAACATAATAGAAATGAGTTAGTGATTATGCAGCTTCATTCTTAAGTGACTGTTTATGTGTGTTACCAGTCCATTCGTTATCCTAGTATTTGCCAACTATTTTTGTCCATTCTCACAAAATAAATTTAATTTATGAAATACTTCAGTAATACTATATGATGATCTCTGCATTTGTTTCATAAAAGTATCAAAATTTTTTTCATCTGCATAGTGTTATTCATAATGAAATAAATGTGGATTTTTTTAACACACTGATATATGTTTAGCAGTTTAATTTAAGGCAAGAATATAAAAAGAAATTGTATTTTTACTCAGCCTTTTTTGTCAACATTTGGACAATATCTACAGTATTTGTGTATGATAATAGTTTTTGTAAATGTTATCCAAATACATTTTTATGAAATTACTGATATTATGATTTTTTGTTTATTGTTTGGACATATCAGATTACTGCAATTCACTAATGTTTAATTATCTTCTTTAAACTATAGTTTCCTATATTGATACAGCAGCTGCGTGCAGCCGCCAACTGGGATATGTAAGTAACAATTATTTTAATTTGTTCGAATACAGCATTATTACTGAATTTTATTACAGATATTCAGGAGTGTTTTAGCCTGTCAGGCTGCTGTGGTACCTGACTGGCAATATAAAGATGTATATAACATTGAAATTTTTCAGCATTGAATTAATATATTGCTATTCTAGAGGAGCAAAGATCATAGGAAATCTCTAAAATTTTATCTAGAACTTATATAATTTAGTGTATCAAATAGTGTTACTTAAAATCACTGAATAAACCAACCCATACCGTAATAGTAGTAAAAGAACTATAATGGCAGCTTTTTTAAATGCCTGTCAAATATTTCAATGTGATAGTGCCCTCTGCAGTTTGTTTCATAAAAGTTGATTTTATTATTCAATTTTTTTCTTTAACAAAATGTTTAAAACTGTTTTGCTGATACATATTTCATTTCTGTTTTGTTAGTTGTACTGCAAAGTTTAAAATGATCTATAGCGGCATTCTGTGTTATAAGAAAACTGAACATGAGCATGACTGATTAGTAAAAGACTATGACAAACTAAGGAATCTTCATACCTCAGTGCTAAAGGAAAGAAGGCATAGATTTAATTGCTAAATTGAGCTGAAATAATGAAATAATTTGATGATATAAAGAAAACAAATAAGAAGAAAACCTGAGCTGTAAATAGCACTTCAAATATTTCCTGCCCTTAGCAATCTGTCTAAAACATAAATAAGACATAATTGTTTTTAAAATAGTTTTTCTGCACCTACGAATAACTTTTTTTTGATATGCAGACGTGCCAAAGTTGCTCGAGTGATTGGTTTACTGGCATTACACACATCTGAACTTAAAGAGAATGTACCTGTTTCTGAGGTAACTCTTTTGGGGGGGTGGAGTTTTGTTAATGCTTTTACTATTTACGTTGGAAACTTTTTTGAACACTGCTTTATTTTTTCTCATATGTGCAAATGGGAATATAATTAATTCAATTAATTAAATATATAAACTTCTGACTTTTTTTTCCATAGAGTTGTGATTCTGTTCTTTACTATCCTGTGGCAGAGCTACCCACTATCATAAAACTCTAGCTTTTTTCTTTCCTTCTCAGAAAACGAAGTACTATTTGTGTGTGTTTGTGTGTGACAGGAAGAATGTGTTGACATATTTGGTTTTCCTGAAACATAATTATTATAATTAGTATAAAAATAGTACAATTGATTCTTAGAAAACCTTTTTTCAAAGAAGTAATTGAGATGGGACTGGTTTGAGATTCCTCACAGTTCTTGAAGTGTGTATGTAATGAAGGGCAAGTAGTTTTCTTTGGAGAAGAAAAGTATTTTTAATCCTTTTGTCATTTTGCATGCTCGGTAGTTGACATAAGCAGAAGACTGATTAGACAGTGATCTTGCTGTCCTTTTTTGCATGTGACACATGCACGCAAATTGCGTGAACTTGACAGAAGCTGCTATTTAATGTCTTTAAAGTGTGAATGTGACATGATTTCTACTTCATGAGGTGAAGTTATGGGTGTTTGAATGTGAGAATTAACTTCTAAACACGTGTAGCAAATGTGTCTCCATACTGTGCAGATCTGGTGTATAGGAACATGTAGTTATTGGTTAATAACTGACTTTTTTGGCAATGCAGCTAAAGAATTGTTCGTTGTTCTAGGTTCCTCTGGTTTCTTCTTAGTGAATATTAAGAATGATTATGGTTGTCTTACTGTGTTGCTTAACATTTCAATTCTGTAGTGAAAGCTGAACTCAAAACGTTGTTGTTGTTACCGGGTTTTTTGTTGGGTTTATAAAGTTACAAAGTGGGGAAAG